CCTTTTTTTTTTTTGCAAACAGTCAAGGACTTGTAACAAAATCCTTTTCGAGTCAAATTCTTTAGAGACTGTAGTCCATCCTCGAATATAAAAGTATTCCACTATAAGTGGATTTTCGTAAATAGTTTTTGCAAGAGTGGTCTTACCAATGCCGCCCATGCCAGCAATCGCGATGATCCAACGATTAGATTGTTGATTGGTCAGCTTATCCATGATGTCTTTCATGACACTGTCTTTCTCCTCTGAAGAAGGACCCTTCAGCTTATCCATGATGTCGTTCATGACATCATCGGAACCCACCATGGCGTCATCCTCCGTGCAAGGAGCAGCAATTTTTTTTCCCGCCTTCTCTTTAGCAGCAGCCACGTCTTTTGTGATGGAATCCAAATCGTGCATCACTTTCTCTAGCTCTCGATACAAAGAGTCGTCGTCATTCAAACTGATGCTAGCTTCACCACGAGCCTCGATATGATCGGCAATATGGGACTCCATAGTGTCTTTGTTCGAACTGTTGTTATTGATACAAAGAGTCTTTGTATGGGACTCCATGGTGTCTATGTTCAAACTGTTGTTATTGAAACAAAGAGTCATTTTTTTTATCATTTTCTGTAGGTATCGATACAATGAGCCGTTGTTCGAACTGGTGTTAGCCTTCCGACGAGCCTCGTTATCCTCTGCCTCGTGAGACGCATCAGATTCCACCATCATTTTCTGAGATTTATCATATCCATCCCTAATATGACGGGCAATGTGGGACTCTATTATGTCCTCTGCTTCGTGAGCCGCATCGACCATACGCCCCTCCAAGCCATCTTCATCATCAATAATATAATTTTCAAGAAAATGTTGCAAGAAAGCAACTTTTTCTATCAGAGGTTCGATCTGTAGTTTGTCGAGGGAAATGGGTGGGCGAGGGTGATTCAGGATTTGGTCAATGGTGTTTGTAAGAGAACGCAGAGTTCCATAAGCTGCCATGGATCCACTTAATTTGGTGAAATGAAATCCAATTAGCTTTAGCTACGAAAAGTGTGTAATGAGAACTGATGAAAGCAGGAAGTGTGTTTTTGAGCTCAAATGCTTGTGGTGAAGAAAAAAAAAGAGAAGAAGAAGAAGAAGACTTGGATGAAATGTGAAACAAATATTAGTTGCTCCTCCATTATTGATTTCGAGTTTGGGACCATTAAGTTAATAATGGCCGACCTTGGGTGACCCACAATGACATTATAGGCTGCTATATAGCCAATAATTCTGCACATGGAAAAATTATATTTAATTTGCTACTTCAACTTTTCATGATTGCATCTCTAACAACAGTGACATTAGTTAATCTAAATGGTTCTTAGCCAAGTTCACAACAGCTTCATGTGAGGACCATATCAAGATATATGTTATTTTGCCATGAACGAGCTCGAATCCAAGTTTATCAATATTAACTATAGCATAAAAGAGCCAAGCTATAGATAAAAATCCCTATTTTCGAGTTTTAACTAGCTAGACTAAACTTTGTTCGGTTGGTTAACTGAACGTGTTTGAAATGAGTTCGAACTCGACGCTGTTTTTTCACAAGAATCGAGCTTACCAGTTGCTTGTTTGGTTTAACTGCAATGACCCGTGAGCCTTCCGTAGCTATAGATTCTTATTTATTTTGGAGGAGCTTTTGTTTTTTTATTTTACCTCTGGTGAATAAATTAAATTAGCTGCTTCATTAAGATGGGATTTTTTTAATTTAATTTGAGTTAAGATGTCGATATGGAGTTACGGGTTTGAATTTGTTTCGTTTTCCCTTTGGTTAAACTGTGGTGCTTTTGAATTTTGATAATTTCCCTTGTTTACATGTGTGCGTGTGTTTTAACTGTGGGAAAATGCTGCTAGAGCCTATAAGAATGAGAGAAAACGGGCGAAGAAACGATGGTCGACGAAAAATCTTTCAAACAACATAAGCTGAAAGCTATACCGTTTCTGATTAGTCAAAAAAAAAAAAAAAA